GGCAAAAAATCATTCACTGATTCCCACTGCCCGGCGGTCGCCGTTAATAATTTTCCTAACAGATTTTCATAATTGTACGAAATCTTTATAGCATAAAAAGGGATTTTCAATATCAATATTTTTATTGTTTCTTAAGCTATTAAAGTCGGGACAGACCTCGAGGAAATGCTTAGTATCACCAAACAGACCACATACTAGTTTACATTTATCGTCGTTCTGTATCTTAAACCTAGCGAAGTATTCCGGAGTGTAAGGTATTTTCTCCCTCCTTTCAGCGTGCCTTCGTGGTATAATGGTTAGCACACTCGGAGCGTATTCGAGATGCCCGGGTTAGAGTCCCGGCAAGGGCACTGCTCATATTTCATGTCTCCTGCTTCAAAATAACCTAGTAACTCTATAGTGGCGCCTAAACTAAAAGTTGGTGGATGATGATACTTCACCACCAGGATATGGCGATTGGGTCCCCTAATCCCCAGTCGCCCTTTAAAAGGCATATGCTGTAACGGTTAGCACACTCCGCGTGGATTCCATAGATCCAGGTTCAAGTCCCCGCTAGGACATTGCTCATTTTTCCACATGCCCAGTATCAAAATAACCGAATGACTCTACAAGAGAATAAAAAGACACGAAAGTTGAACTTATGTATAATATCTGCAATTTTATAACTAATCAATGGTAAGAAAGAAATAACATCTGAGGTTTTATATTTAGACAAAATGAAGGAATATTTTTAGACTTGCGTTGGGATGAAAATGTTTTAACTGCTTGATCAATAATATGAGGTAAAAAGTCTCTGCTAGTTGCGATTACTCTTAAATAATTGAGTTCTTAATCAAGAGCTGAAATGAGCTACCACACTTTGAGATCACGAAAAACGAAAAGGTAAAATGAAGTCGACTTTTCATTGGCAGAATGTCAGGATTTGAAAGACAAAATGATGAAGATTAACGATATACTGTACTGTTACGTTTAATTTTCTTCACGGGTTCGCGCAGATTTGGAGTGAATAACGACGACACTGGGTGAAGTATCGAAACACACTTTATTTAGCCAATATTAAACAGGACAGCTTAATTTAAGTCACGTTTTACAGTCGTCGAAGATCTACTATACAGTCTCTGGAACAATCAGCGACACAGCCTTCAGGTTATCAGGTTAGAACTGTGGAGACAGCTTCCAGAGTACATCTCTCGACTCTGCTTCGTTCTCGGAACTCAACGTACTCTCGAGACTCTCCACGCTACAACTCGCGATGCACTCGACGACACACAGTGCACAGCGCCCGACTCTTCGATTCACTCGTTCCCGGAGTTCAACACACTCTGTCGACGAGGCACTAACCACGATACACTGAGACACTCTTTCGATGCACTCGACGACCCACTCGGCACTCGCTGCCTGGCTGTCAACTCGATCGACTCCACGCGGAATGACTCCACACGGGTACGCTCGCGACGTAGCTGATGAACGCGCTTTTACGTTACCAGCGAAAAAGGCTGGTCCAAACAAGTACGCTTGCGAAGAGTGCGTTTAAACAATAGAATTTTTGTGCGCAAAAATCACGTGGCGCTGTAATTATATAGCGTCAAACGGAGCTGTATCTTGTTACTTCGCGCAAAACCACAAAAAAAAAAAAAAAAAAAAAAAAAAAAAAAAAAAATTGGCGAGAATGGATCCGAAAGATTTATTTAAAGCGACCTGTTCAAAGAGATTTTTTTTTCCTTTACTGCCTCATTTGCAAAATGAATATCCGGAATTATTAAATTCCTACTATTAGCTCACACTCTCCGTATATCTTGTTCAAATTTTCAATCGTTAATAAAATACTTCTTATTCATCCACCCCAGTTCAAATACAATTTTTTAAACTTGTAGTAGATGACACTTGATGTTAATACAGCTTTTTCAAATGTTAATTTTTTTTTAATTTTTAATTTTAAAAAATTCTGTTTGTTTTAATTTTTTTGTATTTTTTAATTTTTCTTTATTGATCTAAGTAAGAAATTGACTTAATTTTTTTATATATATTACTTATTTTTTAATTACTTCAGGATGAGTATCGACCAGTTTAACAGACTGCAGGTTCTATATTGTATGAAAATTAGGATTTATAAAACTGGTTTGAAATACAGTATACATATAAAGCGAATTAAATTACTTAATTATCTTTATATACACCATCCACCATATAATAAAATCAACTTCATATTTTTTAAACTCCCTTGGTCTTTTGTTTTTCTTTTTATTTATTTTTGAATTTAGAATGAGGTTCAAACTTTGGACAGTTTGTGAGAAATTATGTGCATGATAAAATATGCAATAAAGTAAAAATAAATAGATAATTTATAGATGATGTATGATAAAGAGATGCAGATGTATAATTACATAAGGGTTTCTGATTGCAATGCACATTTTTAAACTAAATTAAAAACAATAATAATAATGAATAAAAAATGAATAAAATAATGAATAAATGAAAACAATAATAATAATAGGTAACATAAGAATATAATGATTCATGATTAAATATAAGAAACAAGTTTCAAAATGAGAAAAGCTAACTGAATTATATACTGTGTACGGATGAGGTTCGAACTCGTCGTGTATTTAATATTGCGATAGTTATAGAGCTTTTTATTACACATGATATAGCGAATATTTATAATAATTAAGGAGAATTTGGTAAGACAGAAACTTTGATTTCGTAGAAACTGTAATTTATTTAGGTTTCTATTACTTAAGGTGTTATAAACAGGTGAAGCATATGGATATACTGGTCGGATCATAGCTTTATAAATATACACTTTTTCCCTTTAATGAGAATTTGAAATTTATACCAATATATATGGTTTGAAAAATCTGAGGATGGCGTGAACAATGCTGATTATTTTACTGCTGTATTTCTGCATAACGCAAATTTACGCCGGCGAAAAAAAGGTTGCGTCAACTACGTCGCAAGCGTACTCGTGTGGACGGGCCTTAACTCGAGACTAACTATCTTGCACTCTAGACGGGGCACACTAACTGACTGCGGACCAGCAGGGTTTATATAATTTTTGGCTTGTGTTCGAGAACATTCTGGGTTAAACCAGTAAACATTCGTTCCAGAAGGTTCTCCATCCGTCAAGGGCATATCGCCAATTTTTTCGCCAAATGTCGAAAAATGGGCGATTTTTCGCCAAACGTGGCAACCCTGCCTTTCCTTGTTATTTTATGGCAACCCTACCTTTTTGCGGGGAAGCTATCTCACCGCGCCTGGACTTTTCGTAACAGTACATAAAGATAGATTTCGTGAATGTGGGAAGCACGTCAAGAGACAGAAAATACTGTCTCTTAAATTTTCTTTCACTCCTGGACCTAAAAGTAAACGTTCTGTTCAACTTCCTAAACTATTGTCCTAAAAATTGGCTCATGTTACGCCGATTTTTATTAACTGTTAAGCTAACATTTAGTTCTTCGATATATTCTTTACGTTACATTAAATTAGTGTATGCCGTATTTCCTTTCAGCATTTTAACATTTTTTTAACTAATTTTATGGTTCGAAAATTGAGAAGGGAAATTACGCGAGTCATTTAACTTCCTAAGAACACAATTACTGTGAGACTATAACAACTGAAAAATAGTCATGGATAAACTACTGGAAGTTATCACAATATTAGTTCCTTAAACAAACCTACATTCCAATAAGAATAAGGCCCACCAGCGGCCGAGCGGTAAAGTCGCTGAACACTGGTAGTTCGGTCTGAGGTTCGAATCTCGCGAATGGGCTGGCTGCATGGGTGTCTTCGGGGTTTTCCCCATGTGTAACGTGTATACGAGCCAGTTTCCCTTAGAAAGTCCTCCACGAAGGCATTTCTTCCCCTTAGGCAGGTAGCACTAGTGTGCTTTGCGGTAATTAAATACACACCACCATCCAATAAGAATACATAGTAATATTAACATTACAATACCTGATGAATTTTGAGCCTATAATCTGACGGCAATTGCGTCGGTTGCGCGACATAAGGTCCCAATTACATTATGTTTTGGCTACGCGGTTGACGTTGAAAGGGACAATTCTCAGAACCCGCACAATTCCAGGAAACACACGTAACTAGGCTACCATTCTCACTTACTACAAAGACTTGAACTCCAAACAGTAATCGATTATCGCTCATATCGGAATTACGTGATCCTTCAGAAGCAGAACTTTCGTCTGATTGGTTGTCTCCACCCAGGACCCGAGCCATTTTACGAGACGTGAGGTTTGAAAAAATCCCGTGTAGCCGCAACCTTGCTTCCGTAGCTAGGCGGGACTTCGCTTCAGGCGGGGCTCATTTTTCTAGGAATCGTCCCGTTTAAACCAGTGCTACCAGAATCTCGTTTCTCAGAAAAGTCCCGTCTAGCAGGGGCTGTAGCCATGTGTGATAATTGCCATGACCTCTTAACTGGCTCAACTGCCTTAAAATACCTCAGGGACACCTCACATGAATGTGCTTTGACCTCAGTTCCCAAAACGAAGCGAGCAACAAGCCCAGATTTCGAAAGATCGTACATATTAGTAGTAGATAAGGCTAAAGTGAGCTAGAAAGTAAATAATAGAAATAAGGTGAAATCACATTTCTGGGAAGTTTTTTAGATGTGAGAACACCTGCCAGGTGTGGATAGTTTAACAAAGCATCTGTACATAGTACGTTTCAAATAACAAATGCAAGAGAAAATAAAACAGATGAGATGCTAAACGAAAAACGCAAATTAAAATTGAAGATACTGGATAAAAATAAAAACAGTCATTGGAATGCAATTTACCAATAAACTTGCCCTCAAATGAAAACGCTATGTACAGCAGAGGAAGGAAGAAATTGGGCGAATATTTTTTTAATTTTCAGAATTCAACGCTAAAAAGCGAGGTGGGGCAATATGCGCGGAAGTATGGTATTTCCAATTAAACTACAATTAATAACTACAGTAAATTACAAATAACAAACTATATTTGTCATCAGTTGTTTTCTTTCGTTAGGTTCATCCGTGCGGTGAACGCCGAAGGCCGCTAACTGCTCTTCAGCAACACCTTCTCAAGAAACTCGGGCCAGACGCCCATGCGCTGACCGTTTGTGTTACTGGTCACGCACCTCATTCTGTGGGCCTAAAGCCAGCCCGTACTTACGGAGGCAGTCCTCTAGGTGTCACTTACGATCTCAAGGTCTTTCCGGGTATGTAAATTATTTCTTTTCTCGCTCAATATATATGTAAAGGTTATCAAAATAATTCTACTTTAGAGGACACCATAATTCAAGTTAGACGATTATCAGTGCGGCTTATAGTAACAAATAAAAGAACAAGGAAATTTTTTAGTAGTAATTGATGAAGCGATTGTCAGCACATCTTCCTCCATTAGGTTATAATACAACTAGCTATGAATTGCACCATCATTTTACTTTTATGTATTGCATTGTTAATTAAACTCAAATATTTTCAGCTCACGATGTATTATTCGCATGTAAGGAAGAAATAATTATTTTCTTGTCGTTACAACTGAGAATTTCTAGATTTTAATTTATTAGAATGAATCTTTTGGATCATAGGAACGCGCGTAAAAATGTATACGAAGCCTCATGGAATTCGTAAAGCGCCATAAAAGGATTCCTATTTTCAAACAATATCTAATTTCTATCGCCATTAATCGAGAAAAATTAAACATTGTGCCTCTTGACTAACACTACAAACACTTAATTAGCTGAAATGAAAGAAACTGCATTCCTCGATGAAATTGGCGCGACTCTACTCATAAGCTCGCCTTACAATAAAACTCGCATATTGTCAAATCGTTCTAGCTTTCTTCCACGTTATTATCTATAATGTTGTTATTCATTTTCTCTCCAGAGTACAGGGCATTGTAATCTTGAATCTCTGAAAAATACTTCCAGTTAGATTTAGAATTAGCTTGAAAGATAAAATCTAACGCTCGCCATTACAGCTACATGCTTTGCTATTCAATCTCTCTCGAAACTCGATGGTGTTCAGAAAGCCGCAGAGCTGCTCTTAAAAAGCAGTTGTGGTAGCAGTCCGTTGTCTGCATTGCACGTTTGCATGCGTATGTCCTTTGGGTTTACTGCGCACTAGAAGGCGTTCTGTTAGAAATCTTTTGTCTCAATTGCATATCAGAAGCCGTTCTGGTATAAGTTCATTGTCTTTACTGTGTACCGGTAGTCGTTCTGATTCAACTCCATTATCTGTGCTACGTACCAGAAGTCGAGCTGATAGAAGTTCGCAGTCTTTACTACTTTGTGAATGATGACATGAGGTAGACTGTACATAAAAAGCTTATCTCATGCCGTAGTTTCTATTGGATCCATCTTACTTTACAGATCTTTCAGAGGCCTGAAACTGAAAAAAAAAGCGCTTTATAGACCAAGCGTACTTTTATAGTCCTCTTGGTCTACAAAGCAAAGATCTACCGTTTTTAAGTTGTTTAAACTCTGCTTCATGATTCGGGCAGGAGCTCCAAGAGTAACCTTTTGCAGAAGCTGCCAACATTGATGGCTGATTATTAAATTTAATTTCATCTTTTAATTTCTTAATAAATGTTTAAGAATGAAATAGACCTCCATATTCTATAATACGTTTCTGTTTCAGAATAAATTAAAATTGCTCTCAATCCTTTAAAACTACAAAGATTTAGCAGAATATATTACAAGGCATTCTCAGGTTTCCACATAAGATACCTTACAAAAAAGGGAAAAAAATGCCTACGTCAATTATATTTGATCCCAAATTATACTTATTAATTATTAATTACCCAAATTATACTTAATTATCGAATGCCTGCAAACACAGGAAGAAACTCTTTCAGGAAACATTGTAATAAATATAAATTAAAGATTCTTAGCGTGATTATTATGTAACATTAAAGAAAATTATTCAAATTATAATTCTGATATATTTAAAATATCATTTACAGACATTTAAGAATATCAAAAGTCTAATATTCTGCACAAATTAATTTTTTTTTCCACTCAGAAGGCAACATGTCACAAAAACACTTAGAAATGAAAACTGCAAATGTAATTTCACATGACGTCAGCACTATGCATTAAAATCAGAGAAAAAATGGTAATTGCGTTTTAGATTGTCATATACGTTGCGAGTGGGCACAAAGACCTTTATTAATCTTTGAATCCCTGACAGCTATCAAAATGCTCTAGAATTGCATGCAGTGTGTCCTAATGTACATCAGGTACTTTCAAAATGAATCAGACAAGCTAATGCAAGATCACAGAAGCTAGGTTAATTTCAGACAAGCAGATTATGTTGTGGCAAAATTCAGTGCATGCAAACGAAAAGTTGAAAGCATGTAAGCGTGATCAACCATGAAATCTGCGAGTGTCCTTCAGACGCTGTAAACACCCATGTTCGCACTAACCGCACGAAATTGGGAGATTACAGGGCGAAGCCCTTTCCATTGTAACTTGTCTGGAAAGACCAAAGCCCAGACGAGAGGTAGGCGGTTATTAATGCGTCTCGCTCAGGCGACAGAGTAAAAGATAGTATTGTATTCGTTATGAAATTTGTTTTCCTGTCCATAGCAAAAAAGGACCTTTCCAAAGGACCTCAGGAACACGCTCCAATAGAGTGCATTACAAGAGGTTGGTGACACTTTTTTACAAAGAATTTCAATTCATTCATTTTTTATTGTAACGTCTAACCTTTTGTTAATCATTATATAGAAATTAAACGCAGTAATTACTCGCGTGTGTTTTCATTAGCACAAGGTTCTGAAAAATTTAAAAAAGTTAAAGTCCTTTTTGCCTTCTTCCAGCCGCCTTTCAGAAAGCGCTCATTTGCTTTTTGAATTTCGGTACATGGGCTCCGACTGATGAAGCAACAATAGTGAAATGCTTCAAGAAAATGGTGATATTTAATGCTCTTTATGGCTCTGAACATCATTGCCCGAGAGAGGGGAAACAATAAGAGAGAGCGAAATTCAAGATACAGGGAAGTAAAAATGAGGATATCCTATAGATAAATGTAATGTAGGCTTGTTAGAAAGCAAGTTTCGTTTAAATAAGCATCATTATGAATAGTCACCTGTTATTTATTCACGAATAATTTTCATTTTGTTCTTACCGGACACGCATCATTTGGAAACTAAATTATTGGTATAATTTTTCCCTCTCGATTTTCGTACGATGAAAATCATTAAAAAAAGGGGGGGATACTCGGAAAAATAAGGTATTGTTTTAAGGATACGAATATGATATAAACAAGTTTACCATAATGTTGATCGCAGATGAGAATAAAAAATTTAATGCTGACTAGGCGCTTTTGTTGTATTTCAGTCAAATTAGACCTAAGAGTTGTTGCGGTGGTGTGAAAGTAGTCACATCACCACAACACAGTGACAAAATGCTTTGTGAAAGATGGAGTAATTACTATACTAATAATTTCACTAGCTTTTGCCCTGAACTTCTTCATTTGTTTATGATTAAAGAAGCTTGTTTTGCTCAAGCAACACTTTGGGGTAAAGAAACAAATAATGAAATAGCTTAAGAGATCCATTGTTAGTTTAATATTTAAAGCAAAAGTAAAGGGATAGCTTAAAATATCAGTCGGTAAGAATTTCACAAAAAATGTACGGAATAACACAAGAGAGCAAATGAAAAAATTCACCGCATTCAAGTTTTTATGTATTCTATCATCAGCCATTAAAAAGTGAATGAAATATATTTTTATTAAAAGGAAATGATGACTAAAGAATATCAGTTGGAATAAAATAAATACTTTTAGCCAACCAAAGGAGGTCTTAAAAAAGGAAATGTTGATTAAAACAGGTCTCATATGATAGAAATTCTCTAGACATATACTAATACTCTAGATGCTTATTTTGTACTCCTGATCATCAGTTTTTCACTCCTGATATTAATTATCACTTCTATTCTTTTTAAAAATTTGGTTTTAGCTTATATGTTACTAATAAAGTGATTTTTACTAGATTCTAAGAACCACTTCCGATTATGTAACGATTTGTAACGATATCTCGGGTTCGACCTTGAAACAGCATGTTTGGTTAGGTTAGGTTACTCTAAATACAGCAAAGACACGAAGGTTATCTGCCTAAGAAGAAGAATGCCTTCGCGGAGGATTATCTGGGGCAACCTGACTCGTATTCACAATCGAACTACCAGTAATCAGCGGTCTTAAACCACTCAACCACTGCTAGGGCCATTAGATGTTCCCTGTAGAACAGACGTTCTACGGTAAGTTCTATACAGTTTGCCAATAGTTTTCAGTTGGAAAACGTGGAATCTAATTTCTTGCATTTATTTCGGTATAGAGTCTGGCAGTATTTTGAATGAAAGAGCAAAACATCGCTCAATTTTAAAGTTAGGTAAAATTCAGTTTCGATTGTTTTTGTTGTTAAAAAAAAGATTTACAAAAACAACTGCCTTGAAGAATAATATATTAAAGCAATAAATGATAAACAATAAGAATTGCGGTAAACTGAATGACTCTGCAGGCTTTTTATTACTTTGGCATATGAAGAAGAAGGTTTCATTGAACCTTCAGAACTATAATCTTGTAATTTTACTCATATTATACAGGTTCCCATTGTCAACAATCAGTTACATTAATCTTCTACAGTTTTTGTTTTATTACAAAAAAACTACGTTTTCTTTGCTGTCTTTACTCAAAAACTTGTAGATACTTTAGGTATATTTTGGAAGCAGGAAAGATGAAAAATTAGCAGCGCCTTCACCAGGAATCGAACCGTGGATCTCTGGAACACGCGATCAGCGTGCAGACCACCATACGACGAAGGCACACCAAGAAGGTGGAAGAAATACCTTATATACTCTCCTCTTTTAAAGGGCGACTGGGGTTTTAGGGGACCCAGGCGCCAAATCCTGGGGGCGGAGAATCATCATCAACACCCTTTTAGTTCGGGCGCCATTGTTGAGACTTCAGTAAATCTGCATCAATCGAAAATAAATTTTACATTATTTTAAAGCTGGGCAATGTGTTTTATTACATTATGTAAAAAATACGTTGGAAAAGTTGTGTAATATTTCGCAATGTAGTGAGTAATAACAAAATATTTTGTATACAATAAGAAAATATTTTAGTCCATAGTACACATCACGTAATAAAATATAGGAGAATTATGTGTAGTTTTAGATAAAATACATAAAAATTTGCAGACCATTCCAAATAA